ATATATATATATATATATATATATATATATATATAGAGAGAGAGAGAGAGAGAGAGAAAGAGAGAGAGATAGATAGATAGAGAGAGATGAGAGAAAGGGAAAGGTAGGAGGGTACGAGTGGGGTGGGTGGGCCCATTTTTTATTTTTATTTTTAATTAATAAACTATTAAAAGAAATATAAAAAAATGCAAAAAAGAAATTTAAAGGGGATGATTGTCTTTTCAAGTTCTCTAGGGACTAAAAACCCAGAAAAACCTTGATTTTGGACCTTCTGTGAAAATAGAAAATTTTTTGGACTCCATCCAAAGTTTTTTATATACCACATGGAACAATCTTGCAGTTTTGTCTTTTTTTAAATTAAAAGGTATTTCTTGAATATTTTTGAAAGTTGTTTACTCTTTATTGACATTAACCCCTATTTAATAACATGATTTTGAAAAGAACGATTGCAGGCAAAACTCCTTTGCCGAGTTCTTCGGAAATGGGAGAGTACAAATAGGAAGACGCAGAGAATTTCGTCTGAAGATTCGCCGGAATTTAATCGGAGAGAACGAAATGGAGAAGGCGATGGCGTTGGCTCAGCAGCAACAACGACAACAAATGCAAAAACAGGTGTTGCTACAACAACAACAGCAGCAACATCATCATCATCAACAACAGTTCCTTCTATTGCAACAAATCCAACAACAGCAGCAGGCCATTTCTCGCTTTCCTTCTAACATCGATTCCCATCTCCGGTCACCGTTGCATCCGATAAAAAATCAGCAACATCCACAAAACCCTAACCCTAATCACCTACAAAACCCTAACGCTTCAGTTTTACAACCCAATCGGTCACAAGGTCTTCCTCATACATCTCCTGCGCACCAGTCTGAATTGCAGATGGCATATCAGGACGCTTGGCGTGTCTGTCATCCCGATTTCAAACGCCCTTTCTCTTCCTTAGAAGACGCTTGTGAAAGGTCTGTTTAGTACACATAAGTGCTCCTTTTTCATGAATGCATCTTCGTTATAATCCATAATTTTATCCATTCTGAACGCAAATATTCTGCACAAAGTGCGAGTTAATTTTTTTAATATAGTTTCCTTCGATCTGAGATCTCTGGGGACGAACACTTAAGTTACCTAGATCATATTAATACCATCAGATCTTCAGTTTGTTCATCTTATTCATGAGCATTTGATCCACTAAAAATTTAATTTACAAATTGTTTGTCAATTATATCTTATTAATGTTTCTCATTGATTTATCTCCAGGCTGCTACCTTACCATGTGGTTGCAGACTATGAAGCCGAGGAAGATGACAGAATCCTTGATTCTGATTCCACAGGCCAAGCATTATCTCGGTCACAGCAATGGGATCAAAACATTGCTAACAAAGTATCTGAATTCACTGCAACCTTTGAGAAACAAGTTTTAGCCTTCAATATCATCTCCCGAAAACGAGCCATGGGGGAATTCAGATCAGAAGAAAGATTATTGGTTGAACAGATGCTCCTTCAGGAAGAACGTCGAGCATTGTTTGAAGCAAGGGCAGAAATGGAAACACGAGGGCGAGAAGCTCATGCGGCTAGTCTGCGCATGGCGGTTATTGCCCAAGCAGAACAGGCTCGAGCTGAGATGATGGCTAGGGCTCCAATTAGGGCTAATGCATTGGGAATGGGGGCTCATGAAATGGATCAAGAAGTTAATCATGATGAGATGATGAATGGATGGGGGGAGAATATACAGCGAGATGAAAGAGAACCTTCTGAGGATTTTTTGAACGATGAAGAACGAGAGAATGGAGATATTGGTATGCAGAGTGATTGGCGTGAAGGGGGTGAATTTGATTTGAACATAAGGTAATCGTTGAAACATAATTCTAGTTATAGTTCAACTTTTTTTTTTTTTTTTCACCTAAAGTCGAAACCAAACCCACAAAATTTTGGTTTCTAACCCCTAAATAACAGTTTGCTTGGGTTTTAGCTTTATTCTTTTGGTTAATTTTTTTCTTCCCATTTGTGGTTTTGAATTGTGTAAAGAGATGAAGATATCGATCGAATGGACAGATGTGTAGAAGTGAAAATCCATGACAAAGATATTTGATGAATTTGCAATGCATAATAGCAAAGAGAAATCAAATATCCTCCCACATTTTCTTCTTAACAATAGTATTTATTAGGCTACCCGGAGTGGATAGTAGAAAGACGCGTGGGAGCTGACGTGTCAGCCCCCTTCACGCGTGAACACCGCCCCACCTTCTGGTGGGTTGTTTGTTCCGTGGAGCTGGAGACGGACGAAGACGCTTGATTTGATTGGGGGAAAGCTTTTTGATCGTTGAAGTTTTGACCGTTTGTAAAAAAAAAAAAATTAATTAATTAATTTATTAATTAATTAATTACTTACAATCCTTTCTCTATATATATCAACATTTTTTCTCATTTCAAACACACCACACACTTTGAACACAAACATATACACACATCAAAAAAATACACTTTCCTCCATGGATCCAAACCAAAATAACTCACCCACCCCGAACACCCCAAACACTCCAAATGATCCGTTAGCGAATATTGGCTATATGCAATTGTTATCTTCCCCCGTTCAACAACAACCTCTATTCACCAATCTTTCATATCACCCACACTACTACCAACAACAACCACCACCACAATTTGTTTAATCCCAATTTCAACCCTTTCAACAACAACCTGCTCCGCGATTTCAGCCCCAAACTTCCCAACGTCAACAAAATTCACAACCATCTGAAGTTCCATTATCTGAATCTCAACCCGTAAACCTCGACATTGAAGATGACGACGAACGGGTTCAAGAAACACAACCAAGTCGTAGAAGGCAAAAAAAAATCAAAGGATTCAACAAAAAAGAAAAATACCCAATGGACCGAGGAGGAGGAGACAGCTTTAGCTAAAGCTTGGATTGCCATATCACAAGACGGGGGTGTAGGCAACGCGCAATCGGGACAGAGCTTTTGGAATCGTGTTTTAGACCACTTCCACGCGTTATTAGAAAGGCAAACGAGTCGGACATATGACTCGGTCAATGCTAAATGGCGTGACCTTAGAGCGACGTGTACCAAATTTAACGGCGTATTTGACAATCTAAAAAATATGCATCGAAGTGGTAGCAACGATTTCAACATTTTATCAACGGCGTTGCACCAATACAAAATTACCAACAATGGTAAACCTTTTGGCAACCAAAAAGCGTGGGAAGTTTGTCGCAATGGCCCAAAATGGGTCCTTTATCCAGAAATGGCGCATTCGGGATCTACTACCGGTTCCAACAAAAGGCCGAGAACGTCGGAGTCGGACATCGGTGCTAACCTCGACCTCAATGATGAGTTCGACGCCACCGAGGGGGAGGGTCCATCGGACGTCCATCTTCGTCAACCACCAGGAAGGGACAAAGCGAGAAAGGGGCTTCGTCTAGCGGAAAATCAACCAACGAGGACGTACTAGCGGAGAAAATCGAAAAAACTCTACATTTTTTAGAAAAAAATTTTGATTCAACGGAGGAACAACGCCGGCGACAATTGGCACTCACCAATCTTCAAATCGTAAACACAGTGCCGCAACCAAATCTGGACCCGGAAAATTTAAGGGTGTTTTTGAAAATTCAACAAGAAGTTCTCGACCAATATCGCAACTAGATTTGATGTTTTTTAGTAATTTAGGTTTAATTTCCTAAGTTATTTTTATGTTTTTTTAGTATTTTAGTTTTAATTTTCTATGTGTTTTTATATTTTTCTAGTTTAGGTTTAATATTCTATGTTTTAAATTATGTAATGTGGTTTTAATTACTATAAAATATTTTATTATATTTTAAATTATGTTTTTATCTAATTTAGTCATAAAAGATAAAAAAAAGTTATGTATTTTATAAAATATGTTATTTATTTAATATAATGTTAAAAAAATAAATAAATAAATAAAAAATAAATAAAAAAGTAAATGTTGTTAGTGGTGACCATCTCCTATGTGGAGTGGGTTGGTGGTGAAGGTGACGTGGTGCAGATGTGGCACCACTTTTCTGGTGAGTTGGTGGTAACCACTCTACATAGCCTTAGATCAAGACAAGTATCAAAATTAAGAGAGAGAATTAGTGGATTCCACATGTCAATATTTGATATTAAGTAGGAAGATAAGTATGAACAAATGGTAGGAGGATATTTAATTTTTCAATAGCAAAATGTAGTTGGAATGCAAGTGAACAACCTCACATATTGGTGAGGACAAATTTTGATATTCGGGATAATCTTCAAAATGACCATGTTTATATCTTTTATAGAATATGGGATTATCCCTAAAATCAACATTTGTCTTCACCAATGACAGTATTCTTCTTATACCATATCTAAGGTGTTGTTTGTTTTTTTATAAAAAACCTCTTCAGACCTCAATGTGCGGCGGCACGGCGCCGCACACGCGCAACACTTTTCATCTCGTAGTTGTTTGTTTTTTAGAAGTCCTCGGAGTAAAAAACCTTTGTGCATGTTGTGCATCTTCTGTTTGCGGCAACACTTGTATTGCCTCTTCCAACATTTTTTTTTTCTTGCTGAAATCTTGATTATATGTAGTTGAAATATTGTTGAATTCTTGTTTCACCTTTTTTTTTCGTTTTTTTTTTATT